GTAAAATTTCTGTACCAACATCGGTAACCCCGAGCTACACTTGGGCTTACCATGAGGCGTTCTCTGGGGGTCCCTGCAGCACTTACCTTGTCCTTCGCTCCCGCGATGTGTCCCCTGCAGCATCCCCAGCCATCTCCTCTGGCCGATGCCGGCATCCGGCTTCTGTGTTCCGGTCCCTGTGACGTCGGGACGCACAGGCGCCTTAACCGGCGGGAAATTTGAAATTTTTAAAAATGTCATTTTTGCTGTCATTGCTTTTTCAATGCATTTCACATACATTTTGTCCCGAGTGCTTTGTCCTGTGCCCTGCCTGCATTTTGACTGTTCTTTCTGCCTGGAAACTTAGAAAAGTCCATGGCGTCCAAAAAGCGTCCCTTTACGTCAAAAGCGGTTTTAGAACAGCGATAGTAAATCAGAACCACTTGCAGAATTGAGTGATGATTTGCGGGAAAATTTGTCAGACACTGAAAACGATTTTGCGACTTTGCTCAGCGATGTGCGAATTTGCCTCTGTATTTAAAATTTCAGTGTTTTTGGTTTGATTATATTATTGAATTAAATGTATTATTTTTTATGATTATTAAATTATAATTTTTATGATTCCGTGTTTCAAATTTTATCCTGTTTACTAGACTCTTGTTCGGACAGATTTCAGTGAGTTATTCCTAAAAATTACAGCCTACAATAAAAAACTGCATATTTCCATGCAAAATAATGGTACCGCAAAAAAATCGGAAAGAATCATACCGCCAAGGAGGCTAAAGCTCATTAAGCTCTGGCATGACTCCGTATTACTAGTAGCGCACGTAGTGACTGATGAAAACTGAGGCTTAGCACGTGTTAGCTAGGCGTCTCATCACACAGAAGAAGCAAAAGAATGTTATAGCACTTCCACTTTCAACGCAAAACATGTCACTTTCACACCTGCTAATCATGTAGTGTTCCCATTTTTTTTGTCTAACCCCTGTATATGTATGGGCAACTTAATGCCATCGTATGGGCATAGCAATGTCAACTAGAGCTCCTGAAGAGAGAAAAAAAATAATCCATCCATAGAATATTGTTGCACCTATCATTTTAGCATCAAACTTTTTCTTAGTGGGCCTATTCAGTGTACATCCTTTAACCACTTGCCTACCAGGCACTTATACCCCCTTCCTTACCAGGCCAATTTTCAGCTTTCAGCGCTGCCGCACTTTGATTGACAATTGCGCGGTCATGCAACATTGTACCCATATGAAATTTTGATCATTTTTTTCTCACAAATAGAGCTTTCTTTTGGTAGTATTTAATCGCCACTGGGCACTTTACTTTTTGCGCTATAAATTAAAAAAAGTGCAAAAAATTTGAAAAAAAAAAAAGTTTGTTTCTTTGATAAAATTTTTCAAACAGGTATTTTTTCTCCTTCACTGATTTGCGTTGATGAGGCGGCACTGATGGGCACTGATAGGCGGCACTGATAGGCAGCACTAAAGGGCACTGATAGGCAGTACTAATGAGGTGGCACGGATAGGCGACACTGATAGACAGCACTAATTAGGGGTCACGGATAGGCAGCACTGATAGGTGACACCGATGATGGTACTGATAGACGGCACTGACTGGCATCACTTCTGGGCACTGACTGGCGGCACTGACTGGCACAACCCCTGGGCACTGACTGGTGGCACTGACTGGCAGCACTGGTGGGTGGCACTGGTGGACAGCACTGGTGGGTGGGCACAGGTGGGTGGCACTGGAGGCACAGGTAGGTGGCACTGCAGAGTGGCACAGGTGGGGGCACTGCTGGGAATGGGTGGGCGGGGCTAGTGGGCGCACTGCTGATCGGAACTTGCAGGGGTCACTGCTGGGCACCGATCATCAGGGCACTGATCATCAGTGCCCTGATGATCGGTGCCGATCCCCGCTCTGACAACTGCCGGTTCTCGGCAGTACTTTCCTCACGATCTGACAGCGTGAGGAAAGTGCAGCCGAGAACCGGCACTTGGATTTTCCTGTGATCAGGATATTTTTAGACGTCTAAAAATAGACGTCTAAAAATAGACGTCTAAAAATAGACGTCTAAAAATAGACGTCTAAAAATAGACGTCTAAAAATAGACGTCTAAAAATAGACGTCTAAAAATAGACGTCTAAAAATAGACGTCTAAAAATAGACGTCTAAAAATAGACGTCTAAAAATAGACGTCTAAAAATAGACGTCTAAAAATAGACGTCTAAAAATAGACGTCTAAAAATAGACGTCTAAAAATAGACGTCTAAAAATAGACGTCTAAAAATAGACGTCTAAAAATAGACGTCTAAAAATAGACGTCTAAAAATAGACGTCTAAAAATAGACGTCTAAAAATAGACGTCTAAAAATAGACGTCTAAAAATAGACGTCTAAAAATAGACGTCTAAAAAAATAGACGTCTAAAAATAGACGTCTAAAAATAGACGTCTAAAAATAGACGTCTAAAAATAGACGTCTAAAAATAGACGTCTAAAAATAGACGTCTAAAAATAGACGTCTAAAAATAGACGTCTAAAAATAGACGTCTAAAAATAGACGTCTAAAAATAGACGTCTAAAAATAGACGTCTAAAAATAGACGTCTGTGTATATATATCCTCAGATACATACACAGGTGCCGCGCTCCATAAATACCAATAATCATATAAATAGTGCTGTGACAAAACTTAATGTGCTAAAAAACAGTGCAACATATGGTGCTCAACAAAAATAAATGCTGATTCAAAAAAGTCCTCTTTATACTTTATATATATTCAGTGACAAATTCTGTGCCGTGCCACACTCCCCGTGCTCTAAAGATAGATGTGCGCTCACCTCCTTTAGCCAAACACAGTGGCTAACAGCGCTTTTTGTCCTCTCAGGACTAGGTTGCCTTTTTCCTGCCACCAGAGGTCTCCCTTTTTATCCTCCTTCCACACTGAGCCTCAATGGATAGTAGAGATGGTTACTAGTAGTATTTCCTCCTCTCAGTAAAACGGGATACCATGAAAAAAGAGCCACAATGGTGCCTTATCCTTTGTGAGGTTAAGTATTTTATTGTAAAAAAGATGCCACTCACATTGTGCTGTCTCCCACAGAGCTGTATCCAATAGAGCTGTGCCCAGATCCTGTGTTTGTAAATGCGGCTCGTCCACCGCGGCGTCGTGGGGAGGGGCTCTGACGTCACGCCGCCGCGGTGGACGAGCGGCATTTACAAACACAGGATCTCCGGCACAGCTCTATTGGATACAGCTCTGTGGGAGACAGCACAATGTGAGTGGCATCTTTTTTACAATAAAATACTTAACCTCACAAAGGATAAGGCACCATTGTGGCTCTTTTTTACATGGTATCCCGTTTTACTGAGAGGAGGAAATACTACTAGTAACCATCTCTACTATCCATTGAGGCTCAGTGTGGAAGGAGGATAAAAAGGGAGACCTCTGGTGGCAGGAAATAGGCAATATAGATCCATGGCAAGGATGGAGATATATATATATATATATATATATATATATATATATATATATATATATATATAAAATATATGAAGATTACTACCTAGTCCTGAGAGGACAAAAAGCGCTGTTAGCCAGTGTTTGGCTAAAGAAGGAGGTGAGCGCACATCTATCTTTAGAGCACGGGGAGTGTGGCACGGCACAGAATTTGTCACTGAATATATATAATGTATAAAGAGGACTTTTTTTGAATCAGCATTTATTTTTGTTGAGCACCATATGTTGCACTGTTTTTTTTAGCACATTAAGTTTTGTCACAGCACTATTTATATGATTATTGGTATTTATGGAGCGCGGCACCTGTGTATGTATCTGAGGATATATATACACTGATTGTTATATATTACAGGTTTCACACAGATAATGAGTATTGTGTAAAGTGTTGATGCACCATTTATTTTATTTGATTTAATAATTTTTAAATAATTTTTTTTGTACTAGGGGAGTATCACATTTTGGCTCACGAGTATCACTATATATTTTTCATTATTAGACGTCTATAAATAGACGTCTATAAATAGACGTCTATAAATAGACGTCTATAAATAGACGTCTATAAATAGACGTCTATAAATAGACGTCTATAAATAGACGTCTATAAATAGACGTCTATAAATAGACGTCTATAAATAGACGTCTATAAATAGACGTCTATAAATAGACGTCTATAAATAGACGTCTATAAATAGACGTCTATAAATAGACGTCTATAAATAGACGTCTATAAATAGACGTCTATAAATAGACGTCTATAAATAGACGTCTATAAATAGACGTCTATAAATAGACGTCTATAAATAGACGTCTATAAATAGACGTCTATAAATAGACGTCTATAAATAGACGTCTATAAATAGACGGCTATAAATAGACGGCTATAAATAGACGTCTATAAATAGACGTCTATAAATAGACGTCTATAAATAGACGTCTATAAATAGACGTCTATAAATAGACGTCTATAAATAGACGTCTATAAATAGACGTCTATAAATAGACGTCTATAAATAGACGTCTATAAATAGATGTAGGAACCATTACTTTGACAAATATTGAGGCAAGTCAGCAGAATGGAAATCTTTTTTTTTCTCAACTGAACTCCTGTCAAAGTTTGTGACATGAAGTGGACTTTAAAGTGCCAAGAGGGGGTGGGTTTAATGTAATTATCCAAAAAAACAAAACCTCTACCCGCAAATCTTTGCAGCCCAAGTCATTAAATGTTAGAAAAGAAAAAAATTACAAGACAGTTTATTTGAAATATTACAACATATAAAACCTACATATTATGTTCCATGAGTACAAAGTGGATAAAATGTATTACAGTGAATAAAATCCAATGATCTTAAAAACAGTTTATCAAAAAGACATTTAAATTGCCTTGCAAGCTGATATGAAGATCACAGTCTGAACAAAGTTGATGTTGCATTGCACTGATAGACTTTATACGGATGGAGCTTGAAGTGCTGTAGAGGTAGCATTCTGGATGATTATTAATCCATTTCCATCTTCTCTTTCTTTACAAATTCTGTCAGGGATGGGGAAAAAAAAAAGTTTAGTAACTTCATTCTCTTTACGCCTTCAAGCAACAAGAGTCATGGCAAAAAACAGGCAGGGGCTACAGACATCCAATCTGCTGGGTTGGCATTCTAGATTTACGAGCAACAGAGTAAACACAAACCTGTTTCTTCCTCTTTAAGCTTTGCCATGACACAGGCCTTTAGCTCTAAACCAATGGCTTTTGATAGTGGTGGAGGCACAGCATTACCAACCTGAAAGACAATAGTAGTGTTAAGCAACTATCAATTTTTTAAAACCCTTGCAATATGCAATACCTTGTGGGCAATTGTTTTATAATTCCCCCCCCCCCCCCCCCCCCCCCCCCAACTAAAAATATATGTTCACAATTTCTTAGCCAGAATTAGGAGCTTGGAACTTCAAACAGGAGCTGGCACATGTACTGCATGCAGGCAGCCTATAGAAGTGGATGCAGAGGCTGCATGTCGAGATTTGCCAGTCATTAATAAAGGAGATAAAAGGATGAATTGAGCAAAGCCTCCACAGGAAAGCAGTCCTGGATAGGTTAGGTAAATATAATCGTACCAAAAGGTTTTGTATACATTTAACATGCTCTTAATACCTCTTCTGGTGACTTAGGTTTCTTTAAAAAAAACCAAAAAACAAAAAAATACTTGGTTTTGTGTTAACCCACACATCTAAGCGTTAAAATATGAAGTTTTATGCAGGGAAAAAAAAAAAGAAAATTAAATATGCTAGGCTTTAAGATATATTATAATTCGGTGTTATGAATTGTAGAGTGGATATATAATGCACAGGGGAGAAGTTGGGTAAAAATGGAGAGTTCACTTAGTAAGGCACCATTAGATAAGTATATTTGGATACCACAAGAATTCTGTATGTGGGATGAGGATACAAGCATTTTGACACGGAATGTATTTAGGATTTGGGATGAAATGCACAAGCAGAAGAATTGGAAATTTAACTCACTGTCAATCTCTTTGGCGGGAACTAAATTGTTTTTATGGTACAATGTTGGTTTGAAATGGATTTGTATAAAAATTAAGATAATAAATAAAATTCATCTGGTTCATTAGAGACCATTTCAATCCATGTATGGGCAAGGTTGTATAAACGTCAATCTGTAAAAACACCTTGTCAGATTCCTTGCTTGTCATCAGCTATAGCTGGCAAGCCTGATCAGTGTAAGCTAATGGCAGGGAGGTCTGCCCACTGTCAGAATAACCAAGTGGGGAGGATTCCCCTATCAGGGTGTAGATATGGGAACTAGTCAGTTTTTGTTCAACCCTCTGCTGCTATACAAGCAGCTGGAAGTGTAGTTAAAAATTATTCCACTTTAAATCACATAAAGCCCCCTATGTGACCATACATTTTGGTGCCCGATCCTATCAGACCCCAAATGGATCTTCTGCACTCTACCCAAGACAACCGAATTTAGACTGGGTTCAGAGCCGTCAGCGGTTTTTTTCCTGGCTGCACTGACCAAGATCAGAAATGGCTCAGAGCCAAGTGCTTCAGGCTTCATGCATGAAAACTGACCAGGCACCATAGCATTATCAGCAAATTGAAGCGATTGGGCGGTCTATTACAGAGCCCAAAAGCAAAGATGTCAAAGCCCAACTTCAGACAGTAAGTTAATTCAGTTGAATAAATGCAACAAATAAAACCCTGAATTTGACCACTGCAGCCTGTCATCTTGGGTACAGCAGCACTTAGAATGAGAGAGGATTAACAGTCTTTAGGGCAAATCAACATCCTGTCTAGGTACATACTGGGAGGAAAGCACATTTACTGCTTCACTACCACCATACATATATACACGGCCAGGTATAAAACAATACCAATCATGGTTGAGGCTACAACCATGATCCTGTATCTTGCAGCCCAGCACTTCAAGTAACATCTGAGCAGCCAAGCAGCTGCTGGATTACTTTTGTATGTGGCAGAAGGGGGTCCTGCCACCTTCCCCAGACTCTAGTGTGATCAGAGAACCCAGTAAAGATGTGCTAGGCGGCATCAGGTTGAAGGCACACAGTGAGGGGAACTGATGTTTTTCGTCTGATGTCAAAACTGGAAAAGACGATTGTCACTTCCAGCTCTGTTTACTGCCAGTGAAGCAGTCAATGAGACCAAAAAAAAGTCTGTAAATAAAAATGTTAATCAACTAGAGAACCAAAATAAGTGACAAAAACTTTCATCTAGTAGTTAAAAAGGGAGACCCACTTGTCTGTGTTTATCCAAGATGTTTCCAAAGAATCTGTAGGTGTCTGGAAAGCCTTGAGACCGGGCACACTCCCTTACACTCACCACACGGTGCTGCTCTGGGTGAAGAACACGGCCCTGAGGAAGAAAGTTTGGAAATGGAGATAAATGCCTCAAGTTTAATAAAAAAAAAAAAAAAATCAGCTTTTGCCTGCTGTACAGTTTTGAGTCCATTGAGGGACACAGCAAACTTTTAACCTTTGTGTTATACTGCTGACTGCAGGATTAGACACTGGCAAACCAAAATAAGCCCTTCCACTCCCAGCATGCCTCAGTTTAGTAGCAAAGTAATAAGTGCATGATCACAAACAGAGGGGGTGAAGAACTCTCTCTCAATGGACTTAAGTATTTTGACAAAAAAAAAAAATATAAAAACACAACATAACAGAAATCTTAGCCTGCAGGACATAAAAAAGTTGTCCAACTGAGCAGCGAAAAACACAGCAGCACCAACAGTCCAAATGAGAACAAAAACACAAAACAGACTGGCTCCTGCCTGGTGATCAGTTACCTTCAGCCTGAAGCTAGCATACAGACGTTAAAATAAAATAAATAAATAAATATATATATATATATATATATATATATATATATATATATATATATATATATATATAAAAAACACACGACATCTTTTAGGACTCCAAACAAAACGAGGCATGGTGGTAGGAGGGCCATTCTGGCCCGCCTATTATTGTCCAAATACACCTGCAGAAGCAAGTATAACCTAAAAAAGGTTAAAAACCCATGTTCAACGGACAAGAAAAGCAGTTGCTGTACTGTATGCATTCAAAGTGAACTCATTAAACCATAATCCGATTTTTCTGTGCAATCATTCAAGCACATAAAATCTAACCAAATTATACCATTTCGTAATTCCTTTACCTGCTTGCCCATAGGCTCAGGGTTAGTGACTGTAGTGCTGAAGAAGCCATCCCACTCCAGTCTGCCATAAAGGCCAGCCCAGTGATTGTGTCTGTTCCCTGTGTGTGGCAGACACCATGGAATAAGTGTGTTAAACTGCCGGTCCGCTGGATCGCAAGATTTACCTGGGAATTAGAAATAATAAACATGCCCAAGTCAAAGTTGCTGACCTTCAAACCAGCATTTTTACTTTAAGGTAAAAAAAAAAAAAAAAAAAAAAAAAAAGTGCCGTGAAAGTTGATACCTTCAGCACAGCAACAAACACCCCTAAGAGCTCCAGTACTACTGCTGCCCATTCTTCTTGTCGTTGTGAGTGTAGCGCAGCTTCCGTGTGGTTGTACCATCAGATAAGCGAACTTCAATGTTTGGTAGATCTCGCCAGTCAGAGCCAGGGGCAAGCGGTATGTGTCTCATTCTAGCAGCCACCAAGGCGCTCATATCCTGCAAAAATAAAGATTTTATCAATATGCCAGAATTGTGCATGTTCTCTAATTTAATCTAGTTCTCTAAACTAATCCCATTGAAGTTAAATTGCACAACTAAAATACTGCCTACATTTGTTAACATTCCCGTTTTGATACTAGGTCAAGATTCTACAATACACCTTACAATCATATCAGCATGGATGTCACACCACTTCAAACTCAATCCAAGACAGAGCTCATAATATTCCATCCAGCCCGTGCCCCTCCCTGCACTTTGCCATCAAGATCAATACTACAAACATCAGTCCTTTCCCTCAGGCCAGGGTACTAGGTGTAATCCTTGACTCAGACGGCCTTTCAGCCTAAAATTCAATCACTGTCCAAATCTTGTAGATGCCACCTCTGCAACATCTATAAAATACGCACTTTAACCATTGCAATTAGTAAGCAACTTATTCACTCCCTTATCTCTTGCAACTGCCTCCTCATTGGCCTACCTAATTGCAGGCTATCCCCCCAGTCTATCATGAATGCTGCTGCCAGACTCATCCACCTTACCAGCTGTTCCATGTCTGCCATCCCTCTCTGCCAATCCCTCCACTGGCTTCCCATTGCCCAAATAAAATTCAAAACATTAGAGCCATTTACAACTCTGCCCCAAATTACACCAATCTTGCCTCCAAATATCTCCCAAACCGTCCACTCCTCCCAACAACTCCTGTTCTCTAGCTCCCTTGTCTCCTCATGCTAGTCTTCAGAGACTCTCCCATCATCTGGAATGCTCTACCCTAAATCTGTCTATCACCTACTGTCCAATTTTAGGCAACCCCTGAAAACCTCACATCAGGGAAGCCCATCTCCTTCAGCTAATAACCAAATCTATTTCTCACATTTTGTTCCCCAGTTACCGTGTGTTCCACCAGCCCCTCTGTAATAGATTGTAAGCTCCCAGGAGCAAAGCCCTCTTCTCTTGAACTGTATTATTGCTGTATTTTCTTGTTGCGCAAACTGTAGGTGCTATATAAAAACTTTACAGGAAAAAAAAAAAAAAAAAAAAGAAGACGAAAACTAGACAAAGCCCTGTCCCTCTTGCTAAACACCAAACCTATAATTCAACTGTCAAACTCCGTGGACTAGATGCTCTGGCTAATAAGTCATTGTCTAATACATTCTGGCACTGTAATACACCAGAATGGAACAGATAGCACTACAGGAAACCCAACGTATTTTGCCTTTGAGGTAGGGGAAGAGTTGGTTTCGGCAAGGTACACAAGAGTTGGGGCATGCCCACTTTTTAGAAAGCCTAAAACATTTAACAGGGGGGTTTTTCCTTTAGTGCTGTTTGAATCCTGTTTTCATTTTGGCCATCTAATTCTGAGTTCAATTTTACCTTACATATATGATCCCTGAGGATAGGCTGGTACTGTGAGCCCCGAATCTGCCTCTGGAACCATGACTGGGGTTCACCATTGTAGGAGATCTCAAGGGCCGATGCTCCATTGCGAATCTCTGGAAGGTCTGACATTGAATCTCTCACTGTAATTGTTCTGAGGAGGCTGGAGTTTGTCCTGCAATACAAGGCAAAGATTCCACATTCAGGGCCAAGACAAGGGTAACAGCCAACTCAGATTCACAATACTAACCATTTAACCACTTGGCAACTGCATTATTGCTGAATGACTGCTACAGCACGGTTGTCCAGTTCTGGGAGGGCATATGATGTCCTCCCAGGAAGAACCTGGCAATCTCCACGATCACTGTGTCCATAGGACACAGTTGATCACGTGATGTGGTAAAAGGCAAATCACAGCGGCCTTTTACCACGTGATCAGCTGTGTCCAATGACATAGCAGATCACCAGGTAAATACAGTTGCCGGTTATCGGCTGCATTTTCCTCACACTGTCACAGCATGAGGAAAGTACTGCCAATAACCAGCAATTGTCAGCACAGATCAGAACTGATTATCAGTGCCCAGCAGTGCTGCCCAACTGTGTCGTCTATCCATGCAGCATCATCGCACATCAGTGAAGGAGAAAATATTACCCGTTCGCAAAATTGTATAGTAGAATGAAAAAAAACCTCACTTTTGCTTTTTTGTTTATAGTGCAAAAAATTAAACACCTAGCAGCGATTAAATGCCACCAGAAGAAAGCTATTTGTGAGAAGAAAAAAACAAAACAAATGTAATATGGGTACAATGTTGCATGACCACAGAATTGTCAAAGTGCAACAGCGCTGAAAATTGGCCTGGGCACGAAGGAGATACAAGTGCCCTAACGCAAAGCATTCAGGCAAAACCTTCAGAAAACCCAAAAACAAGAACACCGCTGGGAGTGGGATTATGGGGGTCCTTAGTAGTGTTTTTTTTTTTGCCACTGTGTGATAGGATACCTGCCTATAACCCAGTAGTCTGAATTTGCCTGCATCCTGTATAGTAAAAAGAAACATTTGATTACACTCACCTTGTGATGTTGCTCACATATTTCTTCTCATCCACAACAACATTCAGCTGACAGGCACGGGGTGCAAACACATGCAATGGCTCAGGGAACATGGGCAGCTTCTCTCCTGGAGCAGCAGCAAGTACGATGGCTCGTCTGCGTGTCTGAGGTACACCATACTGACCAGCCTACAAGACAAGAATTATGAAAATAATTCCATTAAAACAGGAAAGCAGCGCTAATGCTTCACTGCACTCTGCTGTTACAACAGCAGGTTGAGGTTGTGTTAGAGCTTACACAGGGCATTCACAAAACCTCCCCTCCCCCACCAATACTCCTAATGTTACTAACTAGCAAGCACTGAAAAAAAAAAAATATCACATGCTACTTTTATGTAGATGACCTACGTATTTTGCAGCTGTGACAGGATGGATTGTCTACATGGTTTGTGGGCTTTATAGACCCTCTAAGGACAAGGTGACAATTCTCTTAGGATTAGTAGGCCAAGATCACCTTAGACAGCTAGATAAAAGCACACCGATCAGCTACAACAAACTCCTACAACTCACTCCTGCGACAGGCTCTTTTTAAACACCCAAACTTACTTGGAGCACTCCAAAAGTACACTGGTAACCCATTCGTACAAGACAACGCAAGGTCAGTTTGAGCACCATAGAGCTTTTGAAGGAAACAAAGTTCCTGACGTTCTCAAGCAGGAAGAATTTAGGCCTATAATAATCACAATAGCTGCAAGAGAACACAAGCAGATGAGTAATGAAAATCAGATCACAATACATACACACACTGCATTAGCTTTTCTATCAAAGTTGCTCACCTGAGATAAGAAACCACCAGGGAGTTCTTGAATTTGGAATAGGTTCTGGAGTTAAACCTGTTCATACCACTGAAACCTTGGCAAGGTGGACCACCACACAGCATTTCAACATCTCCTTTCTGTGGCAGTTTCTGGCCCAGGCTGTTTGTCTTCTCTCCCGCCATTACCAACTTCAGCAAAACGTTACAATCTTCTGTAAATACTGTTGTGCCAGGATTGTTTAACCTGAAGGCCTGGGCAGCTGGCTCCCACATCTCAATGGCCCATTTAGTTTCAGATATACCTGTGTAAAATTTAGGGAGACAGGTGAATCCACAATTGGCTGCAACCAACATAGAAGAATGCACCATAGGGTGGGGGAAGGTCTAGAGCAGCGGTTCTCAACCTTTGGGGGTCGAGCAAGCTTTTCACAGGGGTTGTTAAGACCATCGGAAAACACACCGCTCCTCTATCCGTCTCCAGGAGGGTCCGCCCACATTTCCCTGCACCACGTGTCGGCGAGATAACATGCTGCCCGTCATCTGGCCACACCTCCGGGATCACTCAACAGCTTCGCCTCCTCGCTGGCGATTGGCTGCCGGAACTGTAGCTCAGGAGAGGCACACAAGCGGCCAATCACCAGCGAGGAGGTGGAGCTTGGAGAGGAGGAGCCGAGCGGCAGCTCGAAGATCAAAGATCGAGTGAGGGAGCGAACGGAGAAGGAAGACAGCTGACCGGTAAGTGTTTGTACTGTGCAGATGGTGCTGCTGCAGCAAGCTATGCTGGCTGTAGATGGGAGAGGGAGAGAGCGAGCCCAGGCTGGAGCAGGAGTCAGCAAGGCAAGTATCATTGGTGTCAGTGGGAGGAATAGTGCCCCATCATTGTCACGAATACCAACGATGGGGCACCATTCTCCCCTCACTGACACCAACGATGGGCTACTATTCCTCCCACTGACACCAACGATGGGCTACTATTCCTCCCACTGACACCAACGATGGGCTACTATTCCTCCCACTGACACCAACGATGGGGCACTATTCCTCCCACTGACACCAACGATGGGGCACTATTCCTCCCACTGACACCAACGATGGGGCACTATTCCTCCCACTGACACCAACGATGGGGCACTATTCCTCCCACTGACACCAACGATGGGGCACTATTCCTCCCACTGACACCAACGATGGGGCACTATTCCTCCCACTGACACCAACGATGGGGCACTATTCCTCCCACTGACACCAACGATGGGGCACTATTCCTCCCACTGACACCAACGATGGGGCACTATTCCTCCCACTGACACCAACGATGGGGCACTATTCCTCCCACTGACACCAACGATGGGGCACTATTCCACCCACTGACACCAACGATGGGGCACTATTCCACCCACTGACACCAACGATGGGGCACTATTCCACCCACTGACACCAACGATGGGGCACTATTCCACCCACTGACACCAACGATGGGGCACTATTCCACCCACTGACACCAACGATGGGGCACTATTCCACCCACTGACACCAACGATGGGGCACTATTCCACCCACTGACACCAACGATGGGGCACTATTCCACCCACTGACACCAACGATGGGGCATCATCGACTCCCATTACTGAGCCCCTTCAGAATCTTGGCCATCTGATAAATCTATATTGGACTGTGTTTGTCACTAGATTTCAAGTAATATTCGAGATACCAATTTCAGTACATCATCCATACCTGCTTGATGGAAGCCCTCTGACAACCCTCCACAGCCTGAGAACACATCAAGTGTACGGAGTTTAGGCAGCTGATCTGTTGGTTTTCGATCATCTTCAGACTGAGCAGAAGACATTTTCCCCTTGCCTATAGAAAAAACAAACAGCGACTTAAGATGCAGTCAAATTATAGTATACATCAAACGGGGGGGGGGGGGGGGGGGGGGGGGGGGGGGGGGGGGGGGGGGGGGGGGGGGGGGGGGGGGGGGGGGGGGGGGGGGGGGGGGGGGGGGGGGGGGGGGGGGGGGGGGGGGGGGGGGGGGGGGGGGGGGGGGGGGGGGGGGGGGGGGGGGGGGGGGGTTTATATACGCCACTACCTTTCCCCTTGCCTTTTCCTTTCCCTTTGTTCATGGAGGTACGAGCGTGATTGGGTGGGTCTTCAAAGCTTTTAGTTTTTGCATTGTAGGCCTGCAAAGAGAAGGTCAGTAAGCAAATTAAAAACAACTATGCTCCTACAGGTGTTGTCCCCAAACAAGTCTAAAGCCACTGTGTGGCTACCAGTTAAGCCTCTAGATGCTACAGATCTTGTGGAAACTGGAACTTCAGCACTGGACTGGGATACAGCAGAGAATTGATTATGCTACTGATTGACGCGATGGGTAGCAATTCACTTCCGAATGTTTTCTAGTTTTCTGTAGCTCAGAAAAGTTAGTCTTCTTCCTTTTCTTTGCATACCAGAAATGTATGTGAATGTGTCAGGTAACATCAATTTGGGAACATCAATAGTATACAGTGGACAATGAAAGGCTTGCTGTTGAATGTTGACCATCTATACGGCAATAAACACATGCCGAAACATTAAAAGTATCCTATTGCTGTACATCACTTTCACAAGATTACCAAAGCTTTAAAAATTGCATATGACATGTACATCAATGCGTCAGTGCCCAAACTTGGCCAAAGGTCACTCAAGCACCAGACTCTTCCTGTTTCATTTTGAGTTTATCGTCCATCTTCCCTACCTGAAGATTATACCCTAAAGGCCCGAGTACACAAACATGAGCAGCAAACCTAGATAGCCAAATCTTTGCTATACTGGTGCAAGTCTAGAGGTCTTCAAATTACCTCCAAGAAATAGAACCTGTCTGCTCCAACCTCAGAGTACTCTTGAATAGATTCAGTCAAATCTTCTCCATATTCTACCATACAACGGCCCTGGACATCTTTGAATTCTACAGTCGCCTCTTCATCACTCCAGTACACACCAAGTTGATATCTGCATGGTAACTGGCTTTTGTTCCTTTATGTGTATTCTCTGGCCTGGAGAAGAGGAAGAAGGGGAAAAAAAAAAAAAAAAAGTGTCAAATCTCTCCTTTAAACTGTTCACATCTGCAAAGACCAGTATTAGGAGTCAGATACTGCACTGCTCAAAAAAGTTAAAGGAACACTTTTTAAATCAGAGTATAGCATCAAGTCAATTAAATGCCTGGGATATTGATCTGGTCAGTCAAGTAGCAGAGGGAGTTAACGCCAAAAGCAGCTGAGACTGATTAGCAGGTGCACCAAGATTGGCAACAAGGCGATGACCCCCAAAAACAGGAATGGTGTTACAGGGAGGCCACTGACCATTTTTCCCTACTCATTTTTTATGACTGACAAGTTTTGCATTTGGCTAGAGTCAGTGTCACTACTGGTAGCATGGACCCTACAGGAGGTTGCACAGGCATTCCAACTCCTCCAGGACGGCACATCAATAAGTGCCAATTCCAGAAGCTTTGCTGTGCCTCCCAGCACAGTCTCAAGAGCATGGAGGAGATTCCAGGAGACTGGAAGAAGTGGACAGGGCCATAGAGGATCCTTGACCCCATCAGCAGGACCGGTACCTGCTCCTTTGTGCAAGGAGGAACAGGGTGAGCACTGCCAGAGCCCTACAAAATTACCTCCAGCAGGCCACTGGTGTGAATGTCTGACCAAACAGACTTCATAAGGGTGGCCTGAGGTCCTCTAGTTTGCCCCGTGCCCACTGCCTGGCACCACAGAGCTTGATTGGCATTTGCCATTGAACACCAGAATTTGCAGGTACGCCCCTAGCACCCTTTGCTGCCTGCGTCTGAAGGTCTGGGGAGGTAATTCCGTGGAGGGACACACAGACCTCTACAGGCTAGACAATTGCACCGACTGCCATTAGGTATCGGGATGAAATCATTGGACCCATTGTCAGACCCTACACTGCTACAGAGGGTCCTGGGTCCCTCTTGGTGCACGACAATGTCCGGCCTCATGTGGCGAACGTATGCAGGCAGCTCACTGGAGGATGTAGGAATACCACTGAATGGCCCCCACGCTCGCCTGACCTAAATCCAATAGAACACCTCTGGGATATGTTTTCGGTCATCCGACGCCGCCAGGTTGTACCTCAGACTGTCCAGGAGCTCAGTGATTCCATGGTCCAGATCTGGGGAGGAAATACACCAGGACATCTTCCGTCATCTCATTAGGAGCATGCCCTGATGTTGTCAGGTAACCATACAAACAGGTGGGGGCCATACAAACTACAGAGTACCATTTTGAGTTGCTGTAATGGAATTTCAGGAAAATGGACTAGCCCGGTGCATCATTTTTTTCCCCACATTTTTGGGGAGTCTTTGAATTCAGTTGTCTGATGGAAATTAAAATCAACCTACAAACGATGGGACATCCACAGGTTCCTAACATTACCCAGTCCATATCGGTATAGATATCCAGCTTGATATTTTTCCCCCATTGAGATCGGATGTGTTTTTGAAAGTGTTCCTTTAATTTTTTTTGAGCAGTATATAAAATCTTCAGACCTATGCTGTGAAATTTATTCACACTTGAGTACTGGAAGCACCTTGGAGCAATGAGGTGTTTAATGGCCTTTAGTTCTTTACTACCAAAAACTTACGGTAGACCTACCTGTAGAACTTGTACACACGCAGCTTGATATCTGACTCATTGGGTTTCCCATTGCTTTTCTTGTTACAATAGATCTCCTTAATTCGACCTAGTCTATAGGGCTCAGGGGCATCCAAGTTGCTGCCTTTTATATAGTCAGAAGATTTGCGGTAATATTCTGGATACAGCTCCTCATCCACATCATCCTTTTTATGGGAACGTTTCAAAGGACTGCTCAGCTTAACACTAGAAAAAAGGAAAAATGGACAACCCATAGTTTCCAGGCTTATTCAACTTTAGACTTACAAAACCCAACAATCTTATTCTGACTCCCTTTATTTTGGCTAGCTTAGAATTCCGTTATTGGATATAGGATAAAACATACCTGAAAGTGTAGGCATCAGGCAGGAGCAGTACACCATCGCCAGTCTTGTATTGCACACCATTTTTTGTAGCCATGTTATAGCACACTTTACCGTCGAAATCGTCAGCAATGTCAAACACTTTGGGAATCTCCCTCTGTCTTATTTCATCAAGTCTGGCACAGCTGGTGCAGAATCTACAATTACAACAGCATACCAAAAAGATTTTTTTTTTTTTTTAAGCAAAAACCAGCAAAAGCAGTTCATAAAACATTAGTACAGGAAACCAAAGACTCACTTGTGCTTGTTTTCTTCTGTAGGTTGCAACTTTGGTGGAGTCTCAAAGCGAGCATACTCTGGATCATACCACAGCTGATAGAAGTAGGATTTGCCATCGTCTTCCATCACATTTTTATCATTGTCCAGTCCCCCCCTGGAAGATTACCCCAAAAATGTAACCAAAATCTTAATATATACGCAGATGAGAAGTGCAGGTTAAACTGCCTTTTATTTGTTGCTTAAACCATAACAAAACATATGACAACTAGGTTCCAGCTCACCTCCATGAACCAGTCCTCAGCTGGTTCTTTGTAGACCACATTGACCTTTCCATGAATATAGGACAGCTGCATGTCCTCACATTCATCCACAAGAAAGAGCTCCAAGGGTTCAGATGTGGCACCAAGCACAGTGTCTGAGCCCAGGCAGAACCAGTGGGCATGGAACATAGGGCCATTGACATCTTCCCACATAGATGTGATCCTGAAACAGAAAGGGGGCATTTCAGGACTCAATTCAGGCGCAACACAGCAAAACTAGCACACCTTCATCCAAAAGATTGAAAACCTACTAATCAAAACATTTCTGGACTATTCTAGAAGTGATCAAGCCAATAGAGAACTTCAGTTCCCATACTGACTGTACAAAGACTAGCAAGAACTGAACACAGCATTAATGTGAAAATGTAACTGTGCTGAGTGCCAAACAAAATCCAAAATTGTGAACCATAAGATAGTGAAATGGCAGCACTCAGATACCAATAAAATATGCAATAAGTGATAACCAGTTGTTGCGCTATTGATAAAATAAACCAATAGCGGGTCACATGTTAAATGTGCTCCTACCAAGTCCAAATGTACGAATTGCCAAACAATGAAAGTCTTTTGATGGCAAAATTCAGATGAACAGCTGTGTCCACAATAATCATCCTCGTGTTGTGAAATTGAGACACTCGTGCCCACCACAACAAAAAAAAACATTGCTCCTTACCGAATAGTTAGACCCGATTAGAGGTGGTCTAAGAGAGAATGATGCTGAACATATCTTGCAACAGGCTAAATGGAAAAGAGGTGTCACAGACTTCGGTATCTCTCCTCAAATTTCAAAGACAAAAACGAGCATGCAAGTCAAACGCCACAGGTGCCAGCTTTAGACAGGCGTGGGTTAAGTCAGCACAACCTCCGGCCACCCTTGATGTACTTTTTTCTCAATAGAAGTTGTCAAGGGGAGAAAGATACCGAAGTCCGACACCTCTGTTCTATCTAGGATGTTACAAGCAAGATATGTTCAGCATCATGCTCTGTTAGACCACCTACAGTATAACCTGGAGTCTAACTATTCGATAAGGAGCAGTGTGGTGGTGGTGGTGGTGGGCACGAGCATTTCAATACACACGATTAATGTGGACACAGCTGATCATAATTGGAATTTGGTCAAAAGACTCATTGGTTTGGCAATTCTTGCATTTTGACAATTGGTAGAAGCACATTTAAAAAATAAAGCGACTCACTACTAGTATATTTTATCAATAGCGCAACAACTAGATCACTTATTATGAACACAGCACTAGTTAGAGATGGAGTAAGCAACAGACCATTGCTACAGCTTTAGCTTTTAAAGTGATACTAAACCCCAGACCCTGCATTCACTATATCCGGTCTCCAACAGTACAAAACATGAAAATGCAATTATTTTAGTAAATCTAAATTGCTAAATACCGTTTAGCAGTTACAGCAGCCTTGTGACTTCTATCAGAGTCCAGCAGAGCACTGGTTAAAGCTTTGCGTTCTCTATAATGTTGCAGTATCCCTGACCTAGCTGGACAGTGCCGACTGTGGCCCTGTGCTGATCACATGCACTCTCCCAAGAGAAAAAAAAAAAAAAGACTAGCAATACACACCAAACTCAGCATGTGCAGTGTCTCCACACAATTTTACATAAGAGGATTAACCCCCTAGTTTCCATAGTGAAACTAACAAGCATGCTTTACTGCATATACAGACTGATTTTACTGTTGTGGGTTTAGTAACTTTAAAACAGAACTTCACTATCAACATGGGCTATTTTAATCCTTATGCAAATAGCTATGATACTTTCCCATTCACGTGTTTTAATTTTTTTTTCTTCTGGTTCTACTGCCCAATCAAAAAATGCTATGCTTCCCAGGAGTCTTCAGGAGGGAAAGGAGTTCTCAGCTAAGCATACGCTGCTCTTTGAACCAAGGACAAAATACCAGAAGCAAATGCTTCATGAATCTACCCTTACTCAATATGGTCATGGCCAGAAATGCTAGGGGGTTGTTTTTCTAAGTGATTTCTTTGCAAAATAAAGCAGAAGACATGAATGAATGGGAGGCGTTTGCTCTGAACATTAAAAACAAAAAATTGTGCTTTTGGTTTGTGGTGTTCAGATTCAGTGCAGTTCTGCATTAAATCCATCTTGTACTTTGCAGTAGCCATTTAGTTGATAACTATATTTACACCTATTTTAGTGTAATACAGTGTGTTAAATATGCTGTTGGAATCTCTGGTGTTCTTTTGAATCCATTTCTAAGGTGAACACACCACAAACCTCAGTTTTCATGCACGCTTCAATGAGTAATACACATTGCAGATTCCTGTGCAGCAAGAGAAAAAAAAAATGCATGTGATACTAGTGTTGTGGTGTCAACAGGGCACAGAATTGATTTAGTTGTGCCCTTGCAGAACACGTGCAGAAAAATGGGCATCTCTGCACTATGGTGTTAACGAGCTTTTACCAAGCAAGTCAGACTTAAGGGAGAGGCTGCCAGGAACAAGAGCATATACAAACCTTGCCAAATACAGCGGTTCAGTGGGATTATCTGGACTCACAGATACACAATCTCCAACTTCAAGGATTTCATCATCAATAGATACTTTCAGATAGTATTCTTTCTTCCCTTCAGCCTTGAATAGAATAGAAGAGTCAGTGTCCAATAGTATCCATCTCTGCAGCACTATAATCATTAATACCAACCATGACAACGCAAGGTAGGGACTGAGGGGGGGAAGAAAGAAGAAGAGTCTCAACCCTCCCACTACAAATTATAGACCATCTCAAGGCACCCCATTCTAAAATGTAAAAAAATAGCCAATAGTTTTACATATTGCAGTATTCACACACATAAGACACCCAATATTAGAGGCGATGTCAAAACATTTTTTGCATTTCATTAAAGCATCATTTACTCGATGCAACAGCTTTTATATAAAGATTTACGTATTGTGTGTGCACTAAAGTGAATTTTTCCCTGAAAGCTTGGGGTTGGTGAAAAGGTTGCATAAATATCACGCAGCATACCAGCCATCATTATGTTCTCCAGAGAATATAGAATAAGGGAGATATTTAATTTTTCATGTTAAAAATAAGCACAAGTGTCCCAGCAGGGAAGCAATTGCTATGTTCTTTAGGATGCAGCTCAACATCTTAACAGAGAAAAGAGGCAAGGATCCATTACCTTGACACGGTCACCTCGCCAAGAAATTCTGTTTTTCTTCTCTTGTTTCTTTTTCCTTCCCTGAAGTATCTTCTTAGGTGAAGGCATTTCTGGGATGTTATCATCCAATTCTTCATCTTCATCAGCTTCTTTAACAGCCAAGTTTGGACACCTGTCCAGACCAAGAGGTCAATGTCAAAGTCCCACCAATATTCCCCCACCCAGTTACAACCACAAACTTAAGTTACCTTCTTTGAAGGCAGGCCTGCTTATTACGGCCACTTCCACCAAACTTTATCATGTCCTGGCAGGCTCTGCATTTGCCACATTCCGGCTGCTGACAAACCTGTGAAGAGATTAGGACAGAGCTGAAGTAAACATTCACAAATTAGCTGGTTAAGGTATCACTAGTTCTGGGGAAGGGAGAGGGCATAAAAAAAAAAAAAAAAGGCATTGGTCGTTGACATTTGGTATAAAAAGGCATATTACAATCACAAGGAGTGAGGATACACCATTTCCCAGTCATTTAAACTCAAATGGAGTGTAACATACCAGGGCATGTTAAGTTTACAGGCAAGCCATTTCATGCAGACACAGTAAATACATGGTTAGAACAGCAGCTTCTATTGCACAACAGTTTTATCTCTTGCCTAAAGTTAAAACATACCTCACAAACACCACAACGTCTACGTTTAATGTTCTCCTTCTCTTCATTGTTCTCAATCTGTTCTGAGAAGAAGGTGTCAAAGATCTGGTAAACCAGTCTAGTGGTTGTGGCTTTCGTGGGCCCTTTATCCTTTATGATCTTTGTGGGATGTCGTATGGCTTGCTTCCTTACAGCACGCCTGTAAGTGAAAGTTAAGTCACTTAGCTCAGTCCAGTGGCTAAAACAAGGGGCAACCAAAAGCAAGGTGCTCCCTTAAGGACTAGAGGAAAAAAAAAAAAAAAAAAAAAAGACAAACAACAAACCCAAAACCAAACAGCACCCACCTTTTACCCAGTGTAACACCAGCCAACTTGATGAGGTCCCTCATGCAGGGAGTTATAATTATTGGCTGCTCATCACTGTCTGCAGCATCATCATAACTTTCCACTTGCTCCACAACAAACTGAGCATGTCTCAGTAGAGAGTCTTCGGTGAAGCGATTGAAGTTTAGACCAGCTGGTGGTACAGTAGTCTGTAAAAAGATATAGTTTTATAGCCATCTAGTCTCTAGAGACTAAATTCCTTTGTTGATTCTTGTACTCACTTCTATCCTGTTCAGTAGATCCTCATATGTTGCATCCTGATTACTCTGGAGAAACTCTACCACAATCTTACTCATATAGATCTTCTCCTGCATCAGAGCAAATATTGCACTGTACTCTTCACTGGGATCCATCAGGAAGTAGTCCGCAAAGGCTAACAAGAAAAATTATTCAGTTTAGATCATGAAATTTTGACCTCATTTGCACAATTGTGTGATTAAAAAGGCAAAAATTGAAGTTATAGTAAAAAGGCACCGAGACAATAACTAACCCATGTGGGAAGAACGGTTAGTAAACAAAAAACAGTTTTCCCTGTCAGCTCCTGCACATTGCTTTCCAAAGCAGCGTGCTTACAGTGAAGCGCAAAAAACCGATCAGGTAAAAAGGCACACAGTTAACTGTTTTTGAGTGCCCCACGTTAACCCCCCTCCCTGCCCAGTGTTATTACTAGTGTCAGTGCTTATAAGCACTGATCACTGTATTTGTGTCACTGGGGATGTCAGTGACACCAAGTCAGTTCCCCCCAGTGTCAAAATCCCCGCCGCAGTCCTGCTATAAGTTGCTGATCGTTGCCATTACTAGTATAATAAAAAAAAAAAAAAAAAAAAAAAAAAAAAAAAAAGTAGTATATATACACTGCCATTTGTAAATGTTATAACGTTGACTTTTTTTCTAGCAAAGAAATTTAGCAGAACACATTTTGTCCTAAATTTATGATGAAATTAGATGATTTAAATTTTTTTTTTAGTGGACAGGTTTCATAGTAAAAAGTCAAAAATATTCTCAAAATTGGGAGGCAAACTCCTCCCATCCATCTCTTCTGCTTTACTTTGCAGAGAAATCACTTTGAAAAAAAAAAACAAAAAAAAAAAAAAAAACCGCAGACGATCAAATACCACCGAAAGAAAGCTCTATTTGTGGGGGGGGGGGGGGGGGGGGGGGAATAAAAACAAAGAATGTTGAAAGGTTATGGCCTGGAAGGGAAAAAAACACCCACACATGTAATGCCAACTCACTGTCGAAGACAAAGCTCTTAATACCAACCACAGAGCTGAATATTGAACCCTGCATCTGCAATATGGAAGACTAAAAAAAGCAGCTATTTATCTAGAATACATGCAGGAGACAATTCTAGGGAAAAAAAAAAAAAAAAAAAGGGAAGTACACCTAGGACAAAACAAGAATCCCACCCCACACACAAGCAACCACAGATACAGCAATTAAGTGTCAAGCATGCTGGGAAGACCAGTATGAGGTGTGTTGTGGCCAAGGACAGAAGAGAGAATGTTCCTGCAGGAGGCCACAATTCAATAAAAAAAGGTACTATAGTATAAAGACAGTTACGAAAGGCTACCTGTTGTAAAGCCAATCAAAGCTTTTTCTCCTCCATCAAATCCGGTCATCCACCAGGCATTAATGGGACCCAACTTCTTTGCCCTTACTCCACCTGTTCAAAAAGCAGGCATGGAATGACATTAGACATTCAGAAAAAGCCAATCTGTGCAATCCATGTACAATTCTTTGACATTTTCCCCTACTGCCAGTCTGTTGAGAGTTGGCTGTTTAATCCCAGTTTCAGGAAGGCAAGGGTGCCAAACCTAGCAACCAAATTTGAGACAAGGATTACTCACCATCCAGAGAGGGATTGTCCTCATATATTGGTTTTACAACACCGCTAAAATACAGCTCAACATTCTTCTCAATCAAACCAGAATCAAATGGACACAAGTGTCCCCTCTTGTCGTAAATACTGCAAAGCAAGGAGAAAGACTTAGTCCTTATAAGCTCTGGAGAAAGGATTTGACTAAATTGCACATTTTCCAGCCCGAAACCCCTACCTGAAACATGTAACTTTGTGTTGCGGAAGGTCCTCATAGCTTTCAAAGCCATCTTCGTTTGAATCAAATAAAGACAAGCGCTCATCAGTCAACATTTCTGGCTCATCCAACTTGGGGAAAAAAAAAAAAAAAAAAAAATGAATATGTTATGAGCAGCACAGTAGTTGTCCCGTGAGTGATGTTTTTTTGCTACTATATCTCCCATCAATGGAGCATTTTGTGTAGTCTATGATCTGAGGAAAGCTAAAGAATTATAGACCAAGTGAACCAAGGGTTCAGGGGCATAATGTTATGGAATTTAAACTGGAAGCCATACCCTGTGCCTGAAGACCATTGGAGGTCTCTCCCTTCAGTTTTCTTAAAGTATATCTGAAGCCCAAACTCCCTTAAAAATGGTGGTCAAAGTCAAAGAATGGAGTATACCTTCACAAGCCTAGTTACAGGAATAGAAAAGGTTTCTACTTACAGCATTATCTGGATCTCCTTGAAAAAACTTGAGATCAGGATCATCCAGGTACTGCCTGCAGTCAACACACTTTGGAGGAGGGGTCTGCAAGGAAGACAGAAGTGTTTACCCAATTTGTAACTTATGGAAAAGGTGCGGTGTGGGGAGAATGGGGGGCACTGCACACCAAGAAAATTTTACCTTTGGTGTCTGAACAGGTTTTGTCTTGGGAATTTCTTCTTTCACCGAGCTACAAAAACAGACATTAATCTCACATTTGCTCTATACTGCCCAATTAAAGCCAATTCCCCACCTTAACAAAATAAAGCTTTTTAATTTTACATTAAAGAGGAACACCACTTGATAGAAAAAGCCACAACACACAAAAAAAAAAAAAAAAAAAAAAAAAAAAAAAAAAAAAAAAAGGATACACACTTCCCCTCTGGGTGATGTACAGGACTGTTGCAGATTCCTACCCTTTGCACATGGACACAAACTATTTCTTCAGAATAACAAAGTGAATCTGTATGGGAATAGTTTTATAATTATCAGACACTGCACCTGCAGGGCTCTCATTAAGAAATTGGCAGGGTCTGCATCCCTTTAGACAGGATTACCCTTTGGGAGCATCCCATCAATGAGATTTTTTTTGGTTGTAGGGGATGACCAAAATCTGACTTTAGTGCAGACTTCTAGGAAAATCAGCAAGCCAATCAATCAAGCAGGAAATGTTTCCACCACGTATACAGAACATCTCCAGGTAGCCATACTGCATTTTACAATAAATTCCAGCACTACAAATTGAAAAGTTAAAGTAATTTACATGAATCACAATAAGACCCGAGTTGCAAATCATATACCCTACATTTGCTAACCCCCCCTCTTCAAAAAAAAGGGGAGTTGTTACTTTATACAGCAGTGCACCTGGTAAAGGGCATGTAGCCTCAGCAACATACAGCACATTCCAGCAGTAGGATGAGAGCTCATCTTCCTACACCCAGAAGAAATGACGACTGCTGCTCAGCCATCACAGGCAGGTTTGTAAATACAAGGCTTCCTCTAAATGGTAGAAATGGAGATCATGATATCTGCTCCCCTCTGCCAGGAGGAAGCTTTGGGTGTACACACACACACACACACACACTTTTCCCCCCAAGTATATCCTTACATTACTGTTTCACTTTGAAGTATCTTTAACCTCTTCCCTACCGTGCTATAGCCGAAAGACGGCTACAACGCGGTTGTCTAGTTCTGGGACGACATCCATGGACATCATTCCAGAACATGCCCCGTGCCGCTGGTGATTGCCGTGTCCTACGGACACAGCTGATCACGATACAGTAAACTGCCAACCATGTCCTCCCAAAACACACCCTCCCGCGCATCCGGCGATCTCCGTAAGACACAGTTGATCACGTGATGTGGTAAAAGGCCAGTCAGAGCAGCCTTTTACCACATGATCAGCAGTCTCCAATGACCACAGATCACCGGGTAAATACAGTTACCGGCTGCACTTTCCTCACACTGTCACAGCGTGACATTAGTGCTGATAACTGGCAATTGTCAGAAGTGATCGGCACTAATCAGTGCCACCCCATCAATGCACATCAGTGGAGAAAAATTACCAGTTTCCAAAATTTTAGAATAGAAATAAATGCTCTTTCGTTTATAGCGCAAAAAAAACACAAAAACCCAGTGGCAATTAAATACCACCAACAGAAAGCTCTATTTGTGTGAAAAAAAATGAAAGATTTCATATGGGTACAGTGTTGCATAACCGTACGATTGTCAAAGTGAAACAGCGCTGAAAGCTGAAAATTGGCCTGGGCAGGAAGGGGCTACAAGTGCCCAGTAGGCAAGTGGTAAACCCAAATTTATTGAAACTGGTCATTTATGTAATCAGTCTAAGCCATGGGCGTCCAAGCCTTTTGACTCCTCTGGGCCACATAAGAAAAGGAATGGTCTTGGGCCCCCACAAAAACCACTAACAATTCACTCTGCGATTCTGAATTGTAGGCAGAATCGCCATGATTCCAAATCTCAACTGCAATTGTAGCAAAGGATTGCAGTGTGATTTGGAATCATGGGCAGAATCACACAATTCTGCCCGCAACCAAAAAAAAAAAAAAAAAAATTTTAAATCGCAAAGTGAATGGGGCCCAAAAATAGTGGATTAGCAGAAAAGTCAGGCAGATTGTTGGATTGCAACTATGTGCTGAGTGTACAGTGCAGGGTTAAGAAACAGCCAGACAGTGTCAGGGGTGGGGGCCCCCCTAGATCAAGCTATGTGGCACTTGGCTGCTGCTAGCTAGTGGGAGCCCCCTGCATGTGCAGCTGAGGCTACTGCAAACAGCATTTCCGGCATCCCTCCAGATGTTTCTGGATCATGCTCATCCAAGAGGGCCAACGCCACAGGTGCCATTTTAAACACAGCATCCCTCTGAGCATTCATAACCACAAGTTTTCAGTTGTGTTGGGCTGCATGGGCTCCCCTGGTCTAAGACATCAGAATGGTGGCATTTCAGACTTGCGGTAGTAGTTTTACAAGGAAAGCTTACCCAAATTCTTCACCGTCTTCAACTTTCAACTTCTTCTCCACCTGCTCCTAGTGAGATTATTAACAAATCAGAACCCAAATACTAGCAGAATTAAAACAGATTAACCCCTTTCCACCCAGCATCCTTAAACTGGGGTATGTACGCTGGGCAAGAGATCTGGACTTCCCAGATTGTCATTGGTCACAAACAGCCCATCCCACTGGCTCTCAGGTCATTACTAGAAACCAGGAGCTGTATGACAGCTGAGCCATTGTGCTACAAGCATGCAGTGATAATTCTGCACAGAAACCCAAGCCATTCATGGTCCCATATGTATGGGTGTAAACCCACCCTCTTCGAGGATGGCAAGAGGTTAATATACCCATTAGAAAGGATAGTACTAAAAAGTGATTTTTTTTGTTTTTTTAAATGTATAGGAGAGATTTATTTTTACACAGACTTCATAGGGCAGTCTATACCTTCTCTTCGGTTTCTTCCACTTCGATGGAAACTTCAGGTTCAGCTTTTATGTCACCATTTACATCATTAGACTTGCGCTTGTTAGACCTGTGTGCAGAAAGGAACGATATATGCGTTAGACAAATTCTACAGATTCAAAGCGACTGCAGTGTGGCATAAGCTTGTTTTCACTTTGAGAAGAACAGTAATGCCTATCACTGTATAGCTAGGAAAGTGGGGGGGGGGGGGGGGAGACTGTATAAATAATACACAGACTCCTATACGGAAACATTTACATGTAAAACAGAAGACTAATAGAAGTGTTTTAGGTTAAGTTGACACAATCAAGTCTGGAACACTTACAAAATCAAGTGATTTCCCAACCTGCAAGGAAAGCATGCTGCCCTTCAGCAAACAGTGATGCCATTTATTGGCACTACATCACATTGCGTAACACTCTGCATTTTCACATGAGCCAAACCACAACATGCCGCAGAATTAGTCTTTGGAAGATGATCAGGTACTTTCCCAAATGTCTTGGGGTAGGGTAGTCCACTGAAATTAATGGACTGTTCAAAGCACTGGCTTGCACCGATAGGTGAACCTAGCCTTAAAGTGTTACTAAACCCACAACAGTAAAATCAGTCTGTATATGCAGTAAAGAATCCTTGTTATACTCACTGTGGAACCTAAGGGGTTAATCCTGCATCATGTAAATAAAGTGCTGTTGATCCTGCCTTCCGATACACTCTCTTCCCCCTAACCCCCCCCCCCCCCCCCCATCTCCTGATAAGACGTTGTGTTGAGTCACTATGCACATGGTCAGTTTGGTGTGTATTGCTAGGTTCCCCCCCCCCCCCCCATGGGAGTGCATGTGATCAGCACAGGGCAATTTAGTACTGTTCAGACAGGTCAGGGGTTCTGCATCCTCCCAGAGCAGAACGGAGACTCCCAGAAGCTTTAACATGCGCTCGGCTGGACACTGATAGAAATCAGAAGTCATAAGCTTGCTCAACTGATGAGAAAAAGGTATTTAGCAGTTTATATTTACTAAAATAATTGCACTTCTATGTTGTGTACTGTGTGAGACCGGATATAGTGAATGCAAGGTCCTGGATTTAGTAACACTTTAAAAGGCGGCATAATATGCACCATACCATGATCACTGTCTAAAGACTGCTGCAAACTTTTCCTTGCAGAACCACCTGCTGGTATTGTGTTATTGTCAGGTACAGTAATAAGTGTCCATCAGCCATGTTGGCCATCATGGATGTGGCCACATTGTGCCACATCTAGGAGAAGCTAGAGGTGCCACAGTTCTTGCATCAGACGACATTTGAGCTACATACAACCAAATTTCAGATCATTTAAACCTTCACACAAATCACTCCATATGCTAAACCTGTGCACCTGTAAACCAGTGCCTCACCTATCTATCCCCCATTCCGCTACACAACGTGCATGGCACTGCCTGTAAACCAACTCCACCATAAGCATTAGCAAGAGGCAAAAAAACATGGCCAGTAGCAGCTTCGGCTCCTCATTAAGCAAAGAAGGGCATCTGCACCAGGTGCCCAACACCAACAAGGTCCCTAAGAACAGCAATCTATTTTGCATTGCAACTGATATTTCAGAACTGCTGCACAATACAAGTGTCGAGAATCCTACTTCAGAGATTGTACAGTTTAGTAGTGCGAGACATTGGCCAAAGTAAGCAGTCCGATGAAAAGGTTTCCATTTGCGCACACTAATATGTAGCAGTAGAGTACAAGATTCAACTGACCCTTTAGAAAACATTGACATGATTGTGGGCTGTTTGCCTGTACTTCTTGAGGGACGTGACCCGACCAGAGGATTCTACAGTGCAAAAGAAAAAAAAGCCATCAAAAACAGAATATACAAAAAAGGTTAACCACACCTAAAAAAGTAGCAATTCCAATGTTACTCAATGGAAGTGGAAGCATTCCTGCCTAGCAATGTCAAGGCAAATCCTAACTCAACCTACTCTAAACACCATTCTAAGCTGAAACAAAAAAAAAACAAAAATAAACCCCCCCCACACACACTATACCACCTTGTTACATGCTGAAGCTGCCACTGACAGCTCAGCCCAGGACTGGAGCGGCTGCATAACAGGCAAGTACAGTTGTACCTTGGTTTACAAACACCTCAGTTAACGGGGTTTTTGTTAATTTTTTGGCGTGGGAGTTCCGCTCAAAATCCATACCAGAACCGAAGGGCTTGGTATGGATGGTATGGGCATGGGATGGGGACCCCACGCAATGTTTTTAAATTGTCAGCAATTTTTACATTCAGCTGTTTGTGGGGAACCCCACTGACAGCTGAAACATTGACATTGTGGTCACTACTGAAATACAGCATTACTTAATAAAATAGCTGATGCGGTATTTTAGTAGTTTACTTTTTTCTGACCTCCGGAACAAATTGGTTTTCAATGCATTCCTATGGGAAAGTGCGTCTCGGTTTACAAATTTTTTCGCTATACGAAAAAGTCCCGCAGAACAAATTAAATTTGTAAACCGAGGTACGCCTGTATAGCAATTTGTCTTCACAGAGCTAGATAGATAAGCCTTAGAATGTGGCTGAAAGTAGGTTTACAGTTAGGATTTGGCTTTACTTCCATCTAAACAGTTTGTCAAAGCAAGAAGGAAAGGAAAGCAATGAATCACGCATCGACACGCACTCTTGGTCTCCCCATTTGTCTTGCTCTTCCTGCCTCTACGCCCTTTTGTTCCAGGTGTTACCGCTTCTTCCATTTCCACATCTTCTTCACTGTCACAAGTGCCATTTGGGGAACAGCCGTTAGCCTCTCCATTTACTGCTCCATTCTCAAAGCCAAACTGTTTTTGCAGCAAGGCTTTCACTTTTGTTAGATAGCCTTCCTGATATAGGAAAAAAAAAAAACAAAAAAAACACAAACACAATTTTAAAAAAGGACTCATACAAAACTAAACCCTGTTTTCAAACAAGGCTTTTAAAACCTACAGAATGCTAGCACGAGTTGACATTATGCAGCTAGGTTTCAATACCAGGTTATAAGCAGACTCGTCAGATAACAGACACTATACCACAAGCTACAAAACACAAGTTTTGAGCCTATACCTTTTGGTACAAATTGCAGATGTTGGCAAAGCATTCAAATCTTGTGGCACCTACTGCAGTCATGAGCTTAAAGCAGCATTAAACCAAACATATTGCAGCTTACCAATCAGATGCGTTTTCACCTGGTGATCTGGCCAGTAACACCACCTGCATTAGACTGCCTACACTCTGCATGAAAGACCTGTGGTACCTTTTGGCAGCAATAAATTGAAGCCAACCTCCACCTTTTTAAGCAGTTACAGCAAACCGTTTTGTTCCTACTGGAATAAAGGTTTTACATAAAGCTGATCATTTAAGTACATGTCAGCATTAAATGGTTTGCCTCAGCCCTCTGCTACAACTGCAGGACAGCTTGTTCTGTTGAAAGAACAGATTTAGTAGATCGCCAGAAGGAGAAAAAAAGCCTACAAAGAAAATGCAGCCACCACATCTAAGATTTGTTAAGCTGCAGTATAATAAAAAGGTTGATTTTGGGATCAATATGCCCATTTTTAAAAGTACAATTCCCATGTAGACTGGGAATGCGTAGGAGTCAAGTTATCCCAGCCAGTGAAGGTGGGTGAATATTCAAAAACCAGAAGATGTCAGCTCCTGCGAGGAAGGTCTGGCAGCTGTTTGGCTCTGCTTTAAAACTAAGCATGAACCCAGTGAGTTCCAAGGTTCATATGTCAGTTATATAGGAGTTCTGAAACAGTCACAGTATGTACTGCAACACACAGATGTCAGACTTATTGAAAAATGCTGGCCTTTCTGGAGAGGGTACATACTTCAGAAAGCTCATCTTTGGTCAGCTTGGTCTCCAAATCAGTCAATCTATCTTTAGCATCTGCTTCCAAGTACTCTGCCACCAAATTTAGTTTCTGTTCTATGCATTCCTACGAGAAAGAGGAACAAAGAAGGGTTATAGGATTGGACCAACAGTTCAAAAGCAAATCATGAGCTTGGCTGCACAAAAAAAACTGTACTGTCTTCAGGGACTGGTGGTTGAAGGTGCAAACCAGTACCAGGTTCACCAGTCATTACATGAACTCTAAGGCAGATGCAAACATGCCAGACATGCACAGGACCACCACAAGAGGCCCAATTCACTTGCCAGGCAGCAAGGCTCAGTATCTACGTCCTGGTCCTTAGTAGCCTGTGTTACCCCATTCATCACAAACTCTTCTGCATTTATTGATCTTGGGAATAAGAGCTAAATTACATGCATGCTTTGCAGAAAAACACACGTTACCCTAACATAGTAACAGTGGTGTGCTGCCATTTTGAATGGCACTGAATTGCACCATTACAGTACTGGAATTGCCATATGCAGCGCTGCACTACATCTGTTCCACATTCACTGTACACTGACCACGCATTCAAAAACAAATAGGCTGCCTTATACACATTAGGCCAACAATGTAAATTACTTTTAAAGTGTTACTAAACCTAGGACCCTGCATTCACTATATCAGGTCTCACAGTACACTCAACATGGAAATGCAGCCTTTTTTTTTGTTTTAGTAAATAAATTGCTAAACACCTTTGCTCAGCAGTATATAGCAGTCTTGTGACTTCTATCAGTGTCCAGCTGAGCACTGGTTAGAGCTTGGAGTTTTCATTCTCACTATCCTATGAGGCTGCATAACCCGACCCTCTGGACAGTGCTGATTATCCCCGTGCTGATCACATGCACCCAGTTAATACTTTGAAACCAAATTGCACCTATAATGTTCCTATTCACATTACAAAACTTAAAAAATTGCTGCCTTATCACTTCACTGAACCTCCAGAACTGAAATCTGGCTTAGTCTATGGCTAAACCCCAAAACACCCCACACTAGAAAGAATTGTATCTGCAGTGTTAATGGGAACCGGTTAATCAAATAGAAACGGAAAAGTGTAAACTTAGTGTGTACAGGCAAAGTGAGTGGGCCCTGGAGGGAGGCTAGACTGAGGAAATGCTCTCCTCTGCGTGCATCAGACTAACATACTCTTCTCTCAGGCTAAAGGTACAACCATACGAATTAACTTTTTAAAACCCAGCTTAATGGGCAAGGTTTCTTTATATGAGATCACATCATACAATTGCATCAAATCCACTTTAAAATGTGACCACCAGCTTAAAAAAAAAAACCTAATATATTTGAATACATACACTTTGTCCCCCCTCCTCACCCCCTCACCCCAAAATAATTTGTGCAATGTAAAATGGTCTGCTTTCCATACTAACAAGCTGAACAAAGCATACATACCTTTTCGGTTAACCCGTCTTGTTCTTTGTCCAATGCCTTCAGCCTAAAAGACAAAGTGTTACAGCTGAACATTGAGATAACAGCTTATCTATGCAGTAGAAGATCTCCAACAAAACAACTGCAACATACCCCCCCCCCCCCCCAGCAAACCCAACTTTACCTGCTGGAAGGGTCAGTGTCAGACATTTGCATTATAAATGTGCACCTGGACGTCCATTTTACATGTAGCGTGCCTAAAGTATGATGTTCATCTGCACAGCTTTCTAGAAGTGTTATTGCATTGTAACATGCAGAATGTCAGCTCAGAAGTTTAAAGGGGGGTTCCAGTGAAAATGTAACGGAAAAAAAAAAAAAAAGAAATCAGCAGCTACAAAAACTGTAGTGCCGACTTAAAAAAAAAAAAAAATTAGCCTGGGCAGGATGGGGGTAAAAGTGTCCGGTAGGCAAGTGGTAAATTTTAAAGGATATGTATCCTTTGGAAAGGTCCAGCAGACGGTCAGTGTATCTGTCTGCTCGTACCAGCAGGCAGTTACTGAATGACAGATAGATTCGAACTAGAGTGCTCACTAGAGCCCGGGTAGCTCATTGAGAACTACAAGCCATGAGACACAAAGGCTGTCAGTACTTGTAGTTCATTGACAGAACTCTGAATAAATGACAGACGTGTGGGCAGAACCCCGCAGGACTAAGTCCTTTTCAAATTGACAGGTGTGGGGAGAAGATCCCAAGACCAGTGTCATAATTAGAAGGGGGATCTGGGAGAAGCTGCAGGAGAGGGATCATGTTACATCCAAAAAAAAAAAAAAAGGAACATGCAACATGTCCCCAAAGGTGAACTTTGTCTGGAGCTCTGCTTTAAGGTTGTGTTAAAGCCTCACAGAAAAAAGTCAGCACCTACAAAAATGGAGAACTTAGGCTTCTGATTGCCTAGGCAATGGCAGTCAATTTCGGGGACCCGCTCCCCCCTGCTCCTCAAAGGTGCCAATCCTTAATGGTGAGCAAGGAAACTGTCCTTAAAGCGGAACTTACCGTTTTGGGTGGAGCTCTGCTTTAAGTTAGTTTTGCCATTTAGAAATGAAAGCTGGGCATTCAAACTCAAAACCAACACAAACTGATCTGGTGCACCTATGTATGACCAATCAGCTTGTTCAGTTAAAGGTATAGTTCACCTTTACCAAAACTATCCATGCAGGTAAGGGGTGCCTGTAGATAAAAACCCAAACAGTATGTCTTTGAACAAAGTTGAATAAAGTCCTTTCTATAAGTGTAGGTCATTCACGCAACTCATGAACCCAACTGAAAAACTCAGAGATGACTCCCAGCCCTGCCTTGTTGTTAGACACCCCCCACCTGTTACTGCTCATCTCCACCATCACAGGAGCGAGCTCTTAAACACCCAACAGTGCTACTGCATCAGGGGAGACTGGACCCACAACTGATTTCTGGGGATGCACTTCACCACCAATTGTTCTTTATGGATAGTATGATACATTGTTGTTTTGTAGATCTGTGCATTATAGAGGTATGATTCACCATAGCACTGTTGGATTATACACAGAACACCATTTGCAAACAACCAGGTTTTTGTTTTAGGATGGAGTATTTCTTTATTCTTTTAGCCCTGTACTTGTTTTAATTCCACTGGCTTCCGATTGTGCAACGGATCAAATTCAAAATCCTAACACTGACGTACAAAGCTGTCCACCATACTGCCCCGAACTACATCACTGACCTAATATCCAAGTACCGCCCAGCACGCACACTCCGCTCCTCACAAGACCTCCTTCTCTCTAGTTCCCTGGTCTCCTCCTCCCATGCCCGCCTCCAGGACTTCTCCAGGGTGTCACCCATCCTCTGGAACTCCCTGCCCCAACCCATCAGATTATCACCTACTCTCCTCTCCTTTAGGCGCACCCTGAAAACCCATCTCTTCAGGGAAGCCTACCCCACCCCCTGCTAACTTGCCGACCTCCTCCACTCTTCCTACCACTCCATCCCCCACAGCTATCTCCTCCTGTGCCCCTATCCCCTCCCTCCTAGATTGTAAGCTCCAAAGAGCAGGGCCCTCGATCCCCTCATGTTTTGCATTGTATTGATATTGTTCTGTCACATGTTCTGTCCCCCTTTGTAATGTACAGCGCTGAGCGAACTATTGGCGCTTTATAAATACTGTATAATAACTCCAATATTCTCATTGCAGCAGCTGGCGTTCACTATATGAAGAGCACGGGTTCACTAGAATCTTCATTTTACCATGGGCTTAAAGCAGAATGTCAGGCTAAAGCTACAAAAGGGCGAACAGGAAAGAATTTGAATGCAGGAGACACGATTTCTCTCTTCTGCATTAAAGTTACTTACCTGCCTACACACATGCAGCTCAATGTACAAATGCGGCAATGCCAAATCTGAGCGAATTCCCATGCATGTGCAGGGATGACGACATTACCCCCAATCAGCTAATGAAGGAGGTCCAGTGATAGAGACCCAAAAGCCAGCTGTCTGTCCAAGAGGTCAGCAGCCAGGCAGGGAGCCTAGAGACGCAAGGTTGCTGAAGCTGAACCAGGTATAGTTCTGCTTTAAAGGATAAGTTCACCTCTCGTAACTTGTTACAGCGATATTCAGGGTGTAACATCTAATGCATAGACCGTCTCCAGCTTTGACAGCTAGTCAGGGATCTTTGTTTCCCGCTGTCAATTTAAAAACAAAGGCCATGCAGTGCCGTAGAGGCAGGCAGATACACTGACAGGTCTGCACCTGCGTGGCACCAGTGATCCGCTGATTGCCGCTGCAAAGGTTCACAGGCTCCTGCAACAATAAACGTACTTTTGTCAAGTTAAAAAAAAACCTTTAAGCAAAAAAAGTGACCTTATCCTTTAAATCCCCTAACCTAATGCAGACTAGGCTTTACCCCATCAGTCAGCAGGTAATGCACGACATTTCTGTGCCGGCATACGGCAGCTGGAAAAAGGTGGGAGCTAAAGCAGACCCTCACGTAAATTCAAAGAACTGCTAATCTGCACATCTGTGCGAGTTGGGAACCGATGCTGCGCATCAACTTAAATATCGCACAGAAAGGTGCAAAACTTAAGCAGGTTCGCAGCAGCAACAAATTCTTCAACAGAAATCCCAAAAAATAAAACTAATGCAGCCATCACATCCAAGAATGGATAAGATGCAGTAGTTTGCTGTAGGGTTTAACAGCGATGTAAGAACCGTTTGTGTATTAAGTCCTAGCTCTTAAAGCCCTCAATTTAAGTTGGCAACATGGTTTACTAGTGGCTAAACTATTGCCCGTGGATACAAGCCCACCCCCTCCATGTCTGCAGCAAGGCATGCACGGCTGTAGGATGAGGCTTCAGGACTCTGGCCAGGATGCCCCCAACATACTCTTTTCCTTCCTTTACTCTAACCCCCAACCCACCCTCCCCAGCAGCCTCTGCATACGTTTCTTTACTTTCGTAAGGTGGGCTCAACTATAGTTGTAAGCCAGCGTTCAGCTCTCTGCAATCAGAGTGGCTACTAGCCGGGGACAGCACAGTGGCTAAATGGTTAGCATTTCCGTCTGGCAGCACTAGGGCTGCTGGTTCGAAAACCCAACCACAGCACCACCTGCCTGGAGTTTGCATGTTCTCCCTGTGCGGGTTTGTTCCGGGTACGGCGGTTTCCTCCCACACTCAAAAAACAAGCTGTTAAGTTAATTGGATCTTGTCTAAAAGAGGCCCTAGTATGTGTATGACTGCGAGTTTGGGACCCCAGATTGTACACTCCTTGAGGGTTAGGGACTGATGTGAATGTGTGAAAATAAACACACACAGCTCAGAGTAAATTGGATATACAAGTACCTGTATTAGCCACTAGATTGCTTGTACAAGCAGTGGGAGGGAAGAGCCGCCCGCTCCCAGGATCTCCCATCCCATGTCTCCCAGCTGGCAGGCCAGGGGCAGGACAGTCGAAATTGGCTTTGATCAACTTCTTTACTGAAAACCAGAAGTGAGAACTTCTGGTTTACTCAAACTTTCCGCACCATTTTTAAAAATGTGAAAGGATTCAAAAATACCAGTGGTGTGAAGGCTTTCAAGTGCAGAGAAGAGATTTTGGGTCCCAAGATCCCTCCATGAAAATACCTGCCACTGTATTGCTGTCACAGGGGATGTTCACGTCCGCAGACCCGTTACTACGTGCTTCCCCCATCCCTGTTTCTGCGCCCACTTCCCCTATCCCCGTGCCCATCAGTGCACCTGGTACTGGCATGGCAGGTGAACCATTCAATGGGCACGTCAGTTTTTAATGTTTGACACGCTGGGCATCTACTCAGCATAACTTTATAATTTACAAAAATGTTGAGCAATTTAAGTTTGTGTGGCCAAAAAAAAATTACTTTAGTAAATCTTACTGAAATTTTGCATTTCCTAAATTGTTGCACTATAAAATCTGACAAAAAAAATGTAAACTATCATTTTATTCTCTAGCTTTCAGAAAATATAAGTTCGGGGGTTATGTAATCTTAAAATTTTTTTTTTTTTTTTTTAAATGTGTGCAAAAACTGTACTGAAAAAGGGTTAAACAAATGTCCTCTTTCCAAAAAGACATGGGCATAGCCTATCATACAGCACCAGGTGACAGATATAGTTTGTGATCCATGGAAGACAGGAATTTGGGTGACAAGGTCAGCAAGGCGATGGCAGAACCACCACCCAGCACACCACAGCATCTCCTGCCTGTGAAGAACATACCCAACAACTTGTTCAGGTCTTTGACCAATCCCATCACTATTCCCAAGGCACTACTCGCCCCTGCAACCAGAATCCTGTGTTTACGTCTAACAAGTTATACAAACTTGTGGAGTTATGGGAAGTTCAATATAGTGAATGCATTCCTTTTTCTGATCGGTGTGCGTACAATAAGCTGCATTTACATCCGTAGTTTACATAAGTCTGAGCACAGCAGTCTTGTATGTTCTAGGCTCACGCACACAGATGTGTTCTGGTCGGCAGGGTTTTAGCTTCATAAACAAGAACACACTGTCCGGGGGTTGGGTTGGATTGTACTTTCACATGCAAACATTTCTGCAAACCTTTAAATGTGTACAGTGTGCATGGATCATGCCCTGCCATTAGTGCCGAGATGTACAGAAGGTAGTCAGTGGCAGCAGGGACGTCCAACTCTGAGCGACTGAAGACAGAAGCCATTCCCCTTTACCATGAAAAATGGCTCATGGAGGGGAAGAGATGTAATTGTTCAAGGGCTGGCCGTGCAGAACGCAGAGCACATTACAGCGCATACAAGCAGGGGTTGGTGTGTATTAGCTGAAAGGCAGTTTGTTTTTTTTTAGCACAGGATCTTACAGTCAGCAAGGACCAGCATAAATCATACACAGCCGCGTGAAGCCTCAACATTTTTGCAACATTCTGGGGCAGAGACTACAATCAGGAAGAAACACTCCAGAGACCCTTCTATATTCTGATATTAAAGAGGTGGTCACAGGCTGCCCCATATGGGAAGTTATACTAGAAACTTAAAGACCATAGTTGAAGGCAGAACTGATGGGGGGCCCTACAGGTGAGATCAAAAGATCTTTGGGGGGGACCCCTACAAGTGAGAATGATCTATTAGGAGGATCCCTACAGGTGAGAATAGGAGGGATCCCCACAGGTGAGAATAGAATAGATCTTTGGGTGGGAAGAACCCCAACATGTGAAAATGATGGGGGATCTATTTTTGGAGGTCAACATTTGAGATCAAGGGAGCTCTTTGGGGGGGGGGGGGGGGGGATAGCCCTAAAGGTGAGAACAAGATCAATCTTTGAGAGGGGGATCCCCTACAGGTGATAACAGGAATCTTTTGGGGGGGTCCAAATCAGTGAGAACAGGAAAAATCTTTGGAGGTGCAATACAGGTGAGATCTTTGGGAGGGGGTGGGGAGACTACGGATAGGATCAGAGAGATCCACTACAAAAGATAAGGGGGTGGGTTGGGGGAAGCGCGATCTTTGTGGGGTAGAGATCCCCTACAGGTGAGAACAGGAGAGATCTTTGAGGTGGGTCTACAGGACAGCTTTTGAAGGTGGGAGCCAGCCTACAAGTGACATTGGGGGATCCCTACAGGTGAGAACAAAGTTTTTGGGGGGATGCCTACTGGGGGGATCCCAGGGGGGATGCCTACTGGGGGGATCCCAGGGGGGATGCCTACTGGGGGGATCCCAGGGGGGATGCCTACTGGGGGGATCCCAGGGGGGATGCCTACTGGGGGGATCCCAGGGGGGATGCCTACTGGGGGGATCCCAGGGGATCTGTGTGTGGAGGCTGAGATCCCCAACAGGTGAGAAGAGGAGAGCACTTTGAGGGAACCTTATGTGTCCGGCCTTTGGAAAGGCTCCTACAGGTGAGATCAGGAAGAGCACTGGGGGGACTACAGGGATCCCCGAGAGGTGAGAAAAAGAAAGCTCTTCACATGATGGTGGGGGGGGGGGGGCTACTAGCGAGATCAGGGGTTCTCTTTGGGAGTGGTCTGCAAAACAGGCGAGATCTTTGGGAGGGGAGAGATCCCCAACAGGTGAGACCAGAAGAGCTCTTTGGAAAGGCTCCTACAGCTGAGAATAGAAGGGATCTTCTGTGAATGGTCCCAAGAGTTGAGCTCAGGGGTGACTCCTACAGGTGAGATTAGGAAGGGCTCCTTTGGGGGGCAGGCCGCAAGGATCCCCTACAGGTGAGAACAGAAAAGATGGGGGGGGGGCAACTACTAGTGAGATCAAAGGAGCTCTCCAAGGGCAGGCCACAATACAGGCGAGACCCACAGATGAATCTTTGTGGAGGGGGGGGGAATATCACGGATCCCCTACAGTAGAGCACAGAAGAAAAATGTGGGGAGAGCCTGCTAGTGAGAACAGAGATCTATGGGGGAACCCTGCAGCTCAGAAGTCCCATACAGAATGGCTGCACCCCACCATGAACTTTTAAGTGTAGATACAGGGGGTGTGACCCCTCCCCCCCCATTCCGCTGAGTGCAGTGACGTGTGATATTACCCCATGATGACCTCATCACCTACCCCAATGACATCACTCTGGGGGGCACTCACCTCTTCCTGACATCAGCAGGCAGGGCGGGAGAGGCGGCCTGGGCCGGCATATCTCCGGGATTCCACGGATAAAATCAGGAGACGGTGCGGAAGGTAAAATCTCTCCGCGGACAACTGACAGCCGAGTAAAACCGCGGGAAATACACCGCTTCCCGCCAACACGATGAGGATTGCCGCCGAGAGAGTGTGGAGCCGAAGCCCGGGACACCGAGACACACTACCAATAGAACCGCAAAATTCCCGGCAACACGCGACCGCCTCAGCTTTTCAAATGGCCCCGGGATCACGTGACTCCGCCCCTCCGCAATCTCCCGCGCTTTGTGTTTACGCGCGAAGGAAGAGAGGAAAAAAAAAAAAAATGTGTGAATTACAGGCTGACGTGAGGAAGGGGGGCGCAGCTCCGAGCCCGATCCGCCCTCCTTCCGGGAAGATTTACATGGTGGCAGGGCGGGATTGCAAGGGAAGAATATTCATAGGGCCGCCCACTTTTCCCGGTGCTCTGGGGTCTGGCGGTGGCGCGCTCGCCGGCCGTGACGTCAGGTTTAAAGGTCAATGTGGCGGGAAAGGCGCGCAGGCGCGCTGCGGAGTGTCTGCGCGGGTGAGCACGCCCCCTCCTGTTGACGTCGGCGGGCAGTTGCTATCGTGACAGAGTCGTTCCCTCAGCTGCTGTGTGAGGCGGCGCTTGTATACTAGAAGTGCAGAGCTGACCCTTCACCCCATTCTATGAAGTAGTCCTAACACAGACAAGGCAGTGGGCCTAATGTCTTGGTGCGCACCAGGGCGTCTGTTTTACCTGGCGGTGCATAGCCAGGAAAAAAACGTGATTTTGTGAGCTTTAAATACAGTTAAAGAAAAAAAAAAACATTCTAATCCATTAACCACTTGCCCTCCAAAGGATTTACCCCCCTTCCTGACCAGGCCATTTTGTGCTGTTCGGCACTGTGCTATTTCAACTGGTAATTGCTCGGTTGTGCAACGCTGTAGCCTAACAAAATTTATATGCATTTTTTTCACGCAAATGGAGCTTTCTTTTGGTGGTATTTGATCACCTCTGGGTTTTTAGTTTTTGTGCTGTAAATAAAAACAAAATTTTGAAAAAAAAAAAGATTTTTCTCTTGGTTACAAAAAATATCAAACTCAAATTTCATAATACATTTAGGCCAAAATGTATTCTGCTACATGTCTTTGCTAAAAAAAAAAAACCAAATACATGTAAATTAATTGGTTTGTGTGAAAGTTATAGCATCAAAAACTATGGTATAGATCAGTGGTCTCCAAACTGCAGCCCGGGGGATGTGGCCCTTTGCTTGCTTTTATCCGGCCCTTGGGGCACTATGTCATCCACTGATACCAACAATGAGGCCTAATTTCCCCCATTGGCACCAACTAAGGGGCATAATTCCTTCCAATGACGCTAACGATGGGGCACAATTCCTTTCAATGACGGAGCACAATTCCTTCCAATGACACCATTGATGGGGCACAATTCCTTCCAATGACGGAGCACAATTCCTTCCAATGACACCATTGACGGGGCACAATTCCTTCCAATGACGGAGCACAATTCCTTCCAATGACACCATTGATGGGGCACAATTCCTTCCACTGACACCAAAGATGGAGCACACTTTCTTCCAATGACACCAATGATGGAGCACAATTCCTCCCAATGACATCAACTATGGGGCACATTTCCTCCCAATGACCCCAACGATGGGGCACAGGTCCTCCCACTGACACAAACAATGGGTCACAATTCATCCCACAGACACCAAAAATGGGGTACTATCCCTCCCACTGACACCAAAGATGGGGCATTGTCTTTTCTCACCAATGTTGGGACTTTTTCTACTCCCACTGGCCATAGTCCGGCCCCCCTAAAGTCTGAAAGATAGTAAGCTGGCCCTTTGTTTAGAAAGTTTATAGACCCCTGGTATAAATACTGGAATTTCCACCACTTTTACTTTGACTGCCTATCACATTTCTTGAGGCGCTACAATGCCAGAGCAGTACACCCCCCCAATGACCCCTTTTTGGAAAGTAGACACCCCAAGGACTTTGCAGAGAGGCATGCTGAGTCCACGGAGCATTTTATTTTTTGGCACAAATTTTTTTAATATGACAAATTTGTATTTATTTATTTTTTTACACAACGTTGATATATTACTCATGAAAGCCATGAGTATATGTGGAATTACACCCCAAAATACACTCTGCTACTACTCCCAAGTATGAGGATACCACATGTGAGAGGCTTTTTGGTAGCCTAACTACATACATGCCCCAAAATCCAATGACCACCTTCAGGCTTTCAAAAAGAATATTTCCTCATATCACTTCCCCACTACCTATCACGGTTTCAGAGGCTCTAAAATGCCAGGATAGTACAAACACCCCCCCTCATGACCCCTTTTTGGAAAGTAGACACCCCAAGAAATTTGATAAGAGGCATGGTGAGTATTTTACAGATATCATTTTTGTCCCAGGGTTTTGAAGAAGAAAAAATACATTTTTGTTTTCTTTCTTCGTATGTACACGGGACACTTCTGAACGGAAACTGACTGCTGTAAAACGTAGGTTAAAAAAACGTCTGTTTAGCCGTGTTTGCATACCATGTTTATGAGCGTTTGCATTTAGAAGCGTTTTTTTAAAGATAACCTCAGGAGACTTTCCAAAGTGCCCAGAATGCACTAAAAATATAACTATTTTAGACATTTTGAGAGAAATAGAGAGAGCAGAAGAAGAGAGAGCAGTATTTGGTGAGATTAGCTGTCTTTTTTTTGTTTGGATGGATGTGTTTGGATGTGTTCCAGCTCATTTCTGTGCAGAAATTATTGCAGCAGTGTCTAACATATTTTCTTTCATGTGAAACCTCAAAGCATGGTGTACCGGGTCCATTTGAGTACCGGGAAAACGCTTTGCATGCATTTTTCATGATGAAAAAAGCTCTGGACAACATCTGGAAATGGAAGAGTTACAAAAAAATTCCAAACGTAAACACTTATAAATGCAGTTAGCCGCGTTTACAAGCATTTAGCATTTGAAACGCTGATAAAATCTACTCCTGAACGCAAGTTTGGTGCGTTAAAAAAAAACGACTGTAAACTCAACTGCCTGTAAATGACGATGTGTACATGGACACATAGGAAAACATTAGGGAGAGTTCAGGGGCTGCTGAATAAAAAAAAAAAAAACACAGAAAAGCTCCTAAACGTGAGTTTATCAGCTGCAGTTTACATGGCGCCCATGTGTTGCTGGGAAATCTTTTTTCCTGACAGCTCCATGTCAGAACAGCTGGGTTAAGGGCCAGTGCCAGGGCCCTGCCCCTGCTCCCCCCCCCCCCATGCTTCCAGGACCTAACTCATAAATATAAGCCCACCTGCAGCCTCAGCGGTCCTCTTTTTTTCCTCCCATGTACAGGACCTAGGTGTGTTCCTCTACCTGGTTGGTCTAAATGTCTGGCCATGCGTGTGGGTTTCAGCTGAACGCAGTCCGTGGTGTACTGGCTAAACAGCCCATAATCCAGGAAGCGCTGCTGTTGGTCCTCAAGGCAGATTTTATAACGGCTAACAGCCTTGTCTGGGGTCCGCTGGGTCCATGTGAAGTGGGCATGCACACCCATGCGTTGCGAGTTGGATGGCGGTGGTTGGGTGACCTAATAGTAAAAATGCTTTGTATCCACATGAATGCTGCATTGCTGGGTATTGTTGTGCCGTACTCCCTGAAGCTGCTGTGCATACCCTGAGCTCCTCCATAGATAGTACTCTGCATGACAGGTGCACAAAGTAATACTTTCTGTTCACACATGGCATTAACCTGTTGGTGGCTTCTTAGGTTTTCTTTACTATTGTGCCATTATGCCAACCCCCGAAAAAAAGACCAGCATTCCCAGAGAAGGTAGAGAAGTTGCCTGTGGATGACTACCAGAGCCAGCATTGCCTGCTGGAATATAGGACATCCTTCTAGATTTTGTTTGTTCTCTCCAGTTTCTCAAAAAAAAAGAGAAGGTTTATATGTCGTCAACATTTCCCTTGGATGGTTTGTGTACATTGTTGTAATTCTGTTGCAGATTCCTACCTTTTTTGTTGCTCTTCTTAACAAAACATTTTCATTATCTCCTGTTCTCTGGCAGGGCAAAGTTTGGTTCATTAACCACCTGGAGGAATCTGGCTGTGGTTGGAAGCTGCAGTATCAACCTTCATCTAGCAGCTGTTAACCCTTTAGGGTTTATTACTAAGCAAGCTATTTTCTTCTTAACCACTTACCCTCCAGGGGATTTACCCCCCTTCCTGACCAGGCCATTTTTTTGCGTTACGGCACTGCGTTACTTTAACCTCCCTGGCGGTATTCCCGAGTGTAGCTCGGGGTAAAATGTCAGTGCCAAAAGCGGTAACCACGAGCTACACTCGGGCTTACCATGCGGCGCTGCATAGGGAGTCCCTGCAGAGCTTACCTTGTCCTTCGCTCCCGCGATGTGTCCCCTGCAGCATCCCCGGCCATCTCCTCCGGCTGATGCCGGCATCCGGCTTCTGTGTTCCGGTCCCTGTGACGTCGGGACGTACGGGCGCCGCCGGCGGTGGGAAATTTGAAAATTTAAAAAAATGTCATTTTTTTCAAAACACATTTTTCATAGTAAAACATTGCTGTTTCAACCCATTTCACATACATTTTGTCCCTAGTGCTTTGTCCTGCGCCCTGTCTGTGTTTTGTCTGTTCTTTCTGCCTGTAAACTGAGAAAAGTCCATGGCGTCCAAAAAGTGTCCCTTTAGGTCAAAAGTGGGTTTAGACCAGCTAGAGAACAGCGATAGTAAATCAGAACCACTTGCAGAATTGAGTGATAATGATTCGTGGGGGAAATTCGTCATCAGACACTGAAAACGATTTTGCGACTTTGCTCACTTTGAGAACTTGGCGCTCTATTTCAAATTTCAGTGTTTTCGGTTTGATTATATTATTGAATTAAATGTATTATTATTATATTATTATTTTTTATGATTAATTATTAAATTATAATTTATGATTTTGTGTTTCAAATTTTATCCTACCCGGG